ATGGGAGAGTGCTTTGTTGTTACTCGCTTGGTGGCATCAAAGGGACAGCAACAAAGGCAGCGACAACTCCAGAACATCAGGGCCCTTGTTTTGTGAATGTAAAGGTTACAAGTTGTGATCTCGTACAGTAGGAATCTGCATTTGGGTTTGTTCTTTTCTAGTGAATCAAGCTAACTGTATGCAAAAACTAGAGGAGAAAACTACGGTCATTGCTTCCAACTGATTAACTGATAAACATCTTCTCACTGTTTTTACTGACATACGGTTACTTTCAAAATGACCGGTGCACTTTCTTCTGTCAGGACTTTGAGTGCCTCCCTGGCTGTCTTAAAGCAAAGCTGGGGAGTCACAGCCCTGAGTTATGAACAAAGTCTGTCTTACAGCAACAGAATTTACAATGTGCCATCGGCCACTGGCCTGGCTGGTGACAGGTACCTCTCACTGACAAACACCACGTATCGAACACAGTGGCATGTTCTGAGTAGGCTGCCTCTATATGTATGCGTGTATGAAGTGAAGAAACCAAATTCACAATTTATGTGAAGAAATCAAATTCACAACTTATATGTTAGATTGTGTGCAGCTCTGAAATTACCTATGGGATCGTAAGTCATTTAGCAGTGAAAGTTCCTGAAACTTTAGCTGACGGAGGTGGCACAAGCCAATTTCCAACAGGAACAGCTCAACTAAAACCTGCTGTGCAAGAACTGTAAAAATGGTATTTAAGTGACATCAGGAGGAAGCATGTGTGGATAGTTTGAGATCACTAGATGATACTGTATTTTTACTTTTGTTATGCGTGCCAGTTGCAGGTATTTTTACTTTTTTGCCTTGGAGGTTTTTAAATCTATGCAGATTAATCTTTGGTAAAGATTTTAGTATTTAAGTGTCCTGTCCAAAGATTGTTGAAGTAAATTACAAGATTCCCTCACTTCTCCAAAATGTTTTGGACTATGACTGCAGCACTTTCATGTTTTCTACTAGCTTACATAATAGTAAAAAGTACAGAATCGGTTTTCAGTGCTAGGCACAATATGCCTGTACTAGCACAAAAATAAAAACTGTACAAAACCCCAGGAGCTAATGCTCTCAGTTTTCAAAGACTTAATCGACCAGAGAGCTCAGTCTCACCGCTCAAAGTCAGTGGGGAAAAGAACACCTAATTCCCATTAACAGCTTTGAAAACCTCTTTGTAGGAAGAAAGAGCAGAGAGAGAAGGAAAGGGAAAACAGTAAATAAGAACAGATGGTAATGGATCGTGTCTGGTAATTTAGGACTTCATTTTCACATATACGGTGGCCTCTTGACCACTTCTGCAGTGTAAAGGGATTTCCACACAAATCATAGTGAGATTCACATACTATGTCTGTTTTGTGTTGTATCTGTAATTCTGCACTTCAGTGCACAATTCTAAAGGCACTTCTGTCTGAGTAACCACTGTAATAATGCCATGATCAATCTGAAAAACTTTGTACAGGTATTTAATTTCCTTCAAGGTTTTAAGAAATAATACAGGTGTCAGTAAGCTTTCTTGCACCTGTACACAGGTTGCAGTTAATTTAAGGTGGCTTCGTTGCTTGATTTTGTGAAATAGAAATTATTTGGAACAGTCTTACTCTGTAGGTAAAATAATTGTAATAAAACAGTCCTTTGTTGTTGTTTTACTAAAACTCATTTTAAGTTGCTGAAAAATAACAACGTACTAAAAGTCACTTGGAGTTTGCTTAGCTGTGGAATGTTCCTGTGTTTAAAATTAAAACAAAAGCCTTATATATGTGTCTGCATGGGTCTGTATGCATGTATTTATGCATACGCCTATGTATGTATGCATGGAGATATATCTATTTGGAGATATTTGTAGTCAGGTCTGATTCAAATAGTTTAAAATTATTATTGGCTTTCTTCCTCACTCTTCACAAAGACATTAATTTATAAAATAAAACGGTTTCAGGCACTGCTTTGAAGTGTTAGTACTCACAAAATGATATGTCTACACTCAGACGCAGTTGCCTCTTAAGCTCTTCAGAGTCCCATGTTAAGAAATTCTTTACATTTTTTAAAAATCTTTTTTTAATGCACTACTCTAACTTACTGCTCTATTAATATGTGCATTCTACATATAGTGTAGAATGACATACGTCTAGAAATACCCCACATGAGATTGAGTCTTGGACTCAGTCACACTGATAAATATCTGCAGTTATTTTGAATTTATAATTAAAAATTTGACTTAATGGTGTTGTACAAGTTCATGCAGAGCAACTTGCTGATAATCAACCAGCCGAAGCATATTTCTTTCTTGGTGAGAGTTCCATCATATGCACTTTAAGAGAAAATTAGGCCTGAAAGGCCCCTCATTTTCACAAATGAAAGATCTTGCTCAAAACTGAACTGTTTAGGAGCTACAACAGTTCAGTTTTCAAAATACTACAATAGTTTCCAAAATTTTTAGAGGAACATGCAGCTCAAAAATACAGCATAGTTTCAGTATGTAGTACTTCAACGATCAAAGTCTTTGGTTAAGGATAAATACCAGCTATGATGATAAGGATTGCAAGAATGCTACTTGCAGAGGTGTCTAACCTTGGCTGGAAGAGTGGATCAGATTCAGCCCAGAAGGTCAGAACTGCCTGAACAGACCTAGCTTATACATCCTTGCTTTGGAGTGAAACCAATTGGTTTAACTGTCTTAATAAATTCTCAGTTCTTTTGGGGTAATGACTTATCAGTATTGCCAAACCATGCATCTAGCACCTAACATCTAAGCTAAAACTTGGTGTATCAATTGTCAGCTTTTATCAGATTTTTGAACCAGCCTTCTAATAAAGGGACTAGTAACACTTTTTTCAACATTAAAAAAAAAAACACCACCAACAACAAAAAAATGGAAAAATGCATTTTAAGCTCCTGTTGTTGTATTTCAGAGTGGAGAGACATTTCTAAGATGCATTTTAATTTCATGGAAGCATTGCTTTAGTCTAAACATCTTGTAAAACCTTATGTTTACAATGTCTGCATTATGGCCCAAGTTATATTTTGCAATAGTCTCCTTTAACTGAGTAACATAAACAAAACACAGAATTCCCAGGTAAGCTGGGAATAAAAATCATGTGGCAATGCCTGGATGGGCAAAATAATTTTCAAATGTACAATCACTGCTTGGGAATGAGCATAAGGGGAGCATGGGAACTACAATGGCTTTTACCCTCTACTTCAAAATTGAATAACCAGTTCCCTTTCCGTTGTCTATACCTTTTTCTACGTGACAGTAGACTGAATTGTATTACATGCCGTTGAACACCGAAGAGTGTCTCAAAACAATGGGTTTGAATCTGCACTAAGAAGTAACCAGTTGCTTCACCTCTTCAAAGGCTTCAGTTTTCTATGTTTATTTGCAAAGTGAACATAAACTGGAAGGGTATCACAAAACAGCATCAGAACTAATGAGAAATGGAAATGCATTAGAATTTCCTCCCATGAAGAGGCCAAACTTTTGTTTTTCTTCTTTTCTTTAATGGCTAGAGAGAAATCATTGAGTTAGAAGCTTTTAGTAGGGCTATTACAGTTGACAGGAGACTGGACAAGCAAACATGAATATGATGCAAAAATCCAAAGCAGGGTCCTCGTGGCATAATTCACTTCTTATGCACTTGATGCTGTCAATACTTGGTGTGTCCATATCTGTATGTTATTTGAAAGTTGCATCAACAGAAATACAGATAATGATAACCAAAGAAAAAAAGTAAGTAAAGGAAAAGAGAGAATTAAAAGAAATAATGCTTTTCAAATACAAGTGCTGCCAGTAATAAAAATAAGACAGGAAAGGAAAATCTGCTTGCAAATAGAGTATTGTTCAAAGTTAGCATACCAAAATTGGTTTATTTTTTTTTTCATAGATGCCAGCTGGAAAGACCTAGTGGCAAAATTCAAATGAGCGTTAGCAAGGGCACCAAAAGTTGTCAGTGCAATACCTACCAAAATTTCAGAGGACTATACGCATTTCATAGCTTAAAATAGACTGTGTCTTTGCAAGAAGGGCAGCATCATGACTTTGCATATCTAATGCGAATTTTATGATGTGTTAGCAGCTAAACTTGCTATAAAAAAAGGAGCTCTTCACTTTTAGAAGCTTATAAACCGTGTTTCATAAGAGGCTGGATGCCTAGACAATTCTTTTCATCAGCTTTTAGAGGTACGCATTCAAATGCAAGTGCCAGCTTTTTCCCACAAGATCTATGGTTCATCAGTTACAAAGTCTCCATCACTCCTCAAGAACCTAAATTTTCTTTCAAGCCTGGGCCATTATAACCAGGGTCACTGCCAAATCCAGGTCTGAAGAATGCACAATACTTTCACTTTTGGTTAGTCACCATCACTTCAAACCAGCATTCCTCTTTTGATGTTGTGCTTGATTAACTAGTTTTCACAGTGTACTTTTTCCCCTCAGTGAATGTACTAGATAGCGTAACTAAGCTTTTTGCTGGATTCTGCATTTTACAGTCAGCCTTCAGGGATGCTAAATTTAAGAGTAAGGAAACAGTAATTAAAAGTGATTAGGACAAGAAGCCTTGATACTATGAAATGTGGACTCAATTGTCCTTGACACAGGCAGAACAAGGCAGCAGGTTTTGGTTTTGATTATAGCTTTACTTGCGATTTTAATAAACATGAACCAGTATTCAAACTTTTAATATCCTGCTGCTTAACTATTTCCAAAAAGCAATCCAGCTCTTTTAAACAGCCCTTGTTTAAAAATTTTAATTTGTTTGGCTCTGTCTCTGCTTAGAGAAGTTGTAGCCTCACGGTAACTCTTTTATAAGTTCATTTCCAGAATCGCAAGCAATCGGTTTTTTTCAACTAAGTGTTTCCGCATGTGCCAAAAGTGTCAGGCTGACAGCTTTCCTGCACCGTTTTATCTGGTTCCCACAGTAAGTATGAGAGACAAACACAGGAATGTGTCTAGTGCTGCCTATGCCCATCAAGGATACAATGATACTTACAGCTCTTCCAGGAAGCGGAGATTGTGCACGGGGTTTGAGGGCAGCTTAGTAATGTTGTTCATACTGAGATCACTGTAGGGGAAAACAGACAGAGACTTAATATGGCATGCCACAACTGTGGTATCCAGCTGTTCATTCCACACATTTTTAAGTAGTACATTAACAAAAATTAGTTCCTCTGCCAGAACTGATGAATCATTATCTAGTTAGCATGTTAAACATCCTTCTTCATATGAACCAAACACAGGCTGTAGCATGTTCCTTGTTTCCAAAGATTTTGGAATGTTTTATCACGCTCTATAAATCAACTGGAACACTAAACAACTCTCTTCGTCTACATAATTTTAATAAACCACTGTACTGTATTAAAATTCACTTGGAGTAGTAAAGAAAGACTACTATGATTTTCGTCGTTGTTGTAGCACTGTAGCACACTTGGTTTACTAAAGTAGACAGGTAAAAGCATACGGATATAAACTATCTGCATAATTCTTTACATTTCATGAATAAGGAAACATTTCACTTTTGCTGTACAACCTGCTACATGGTCGTACTGATTTGCCTTGCCTTACCTTAGGCACATTAGGTGTCTCCAAAGCCCAACTTACTCGAGTCAAAGAAATGACATATTTTCAAATAATAAACATCCCCTTTTTAGAGTGCTCTTTTTTGTAGGCTCTCAAATTGCATTAAATAAGTGAAATGAACCATAAAACAAGGGTGTAATGTGATCCTGCTCTGGAGCACACTTCCTGGTGGGGTTCCACTGTAGTTCCTGGCACAGGAAACAACCAGCCATATCAGCTCTGTCAGAGCTCATTCAAACTATGTTTTAGACTAAATTTCATATAATATCTTTTTATTCTTAACATACTTTTTCATTGTTTTCCATTGTCTTCCCCACATTCCACAGAATCATCATAATTGCTTTGCATTAATTATAAAAACTGTAAACAGACTGCATAATAAAATTCTGTGTGGAAGACACAACTTATGCAACTATATCAAAATTCCTTTAGACCGTTAAAATAAAAATATCAGAGGCCTGCATATTTTATGCAAACGTTATGTGATAATTTAAAACTCCTCACTATCTAAACATACATATATATTTGTAGCAATGCTTATAGTTTCCAGCTACTTTGGGTTGTATTTAGATAACTTTATTTCTTCCAGCTGTTGAGAGCTTACAAGGTAAATAAGTTATCCATACTTTGGTGGGTAGAAGTCCTATTCCTATTCCATCTAGTTCTTATTACTCACAGTCTGTTTCACATTACGGAATATATGTTTTTAGTCAGCATAGTTAATTTTGATGTTTGATCTTTAGCTGAATTTTAAAATGTATAATTTAAAAACATACTTCATGTAGAGATTTTGAAATAAAGAAAATGTGTTAATACTTTACAACAATTACCAAATCACTGTTGGGTAAGGTCTCTTTGCATTCACTTCAAAACAAGGTATAATTTGAGAACCGTGTACTTACTAAATTCATTCTTTATTGTAATACTTTATCACCTAATTCTCTCCTACAGTTTAGTAGGTTATTACCCTTTCACTTTGATAAAGGCTCAAAAGATTTATTCTGGCAAAGGAACAAAACCATGTATTTATTTGGCAAAAGAAAAACTCATCCAGGTAGTGAAACATATACTACTGAATATTAAGATAAACCAAATATTTTAACAATATCATTTTGATCGTGAGATTTTCAACACAGTTCTTAATGGGTTTTTGTAAAATCACATTTTAGACTTAAAAATCCAGCTTTGGTGAAAGATGAGAGTGATTTATCTTCAGAGAGACACATATTTAGGGCATTCTACAAAAGCAGCATTAACCAGTGCTCTAGCTGACCAGGGAAACCTGAAGCCTGTTTTTCTAGCGTATTAATTTCTATTAGTAGTAGGCAGCACTTGTCTGCTTGTATCACCCACAGGACCCTATGATGACACCAGTCACAAGCAATCTACAGATCAGACCTAATACCTTAAGAGGATCAGAATAAGAGAAGGTAGCTTTCATCATGTGCCTTGATGCACAATGAGAAAATCAACAATACATTCACTTTTCTTAAAAACATCTTTAGATGTTCACTAAATCCCAGAGGTGAATTTACCAACAGTGAAATCCAATGTCCTCGTCTCCTTTTTGGACTTCACTCACATGATGAAATATGTGCTTCACATCATATGATGGAGGAGAATCTCTTCTTCTTCCCAGTCTACACTGCAGTAATTGCTAGCTCTTTTTAAACCTACCAGTTAAATAATCTCATTCTGTTAGGTTCTCTTTTTTTTTTTCAGATTATTCTTTTCTTGGAACATAAAGTACAAAGATTTTTTTTGCAACAGAACTATGTTACCTATGCATATTTCATAAAATCATAGAATCATTTAGGTTGGAAAAGACCCTTAAGATCATCGAGTCCAAAGACTAACCTAACACCAAGCCCATCACTAAACCATGTCCCTGAATGCCACATCTACACGTCTTTTAAATATTTCCAGGGATGGTGGAGGTAACAGAAATTATTTCCAAATTTGCTCAATAACACCTTTCCAAACTAGTTTTTAACACACTAGTAACTAATACACAGGCCATTCCAGTCTACGTTGGTGATGTGTTATTGCTGTAGCTATAAGGGTTTAAGAAAATAAGGGGGACTACTGTAGGAAGAGGTAATATCTTTCATTAGGCTAGCTGATACAGCTGGAAAAACTGATAAAGTTTCAGGCACAAAAATAAAACACTTCTACTTCTTCCAGCTGCACCAATTGGGTAAAGAGGTGACATTATTTATCCCTAAAAAACTCACATCGTTTATGGTTAATCTGTGCTTTTGCAGAACACTCTCTTAGGTCAGAATCACCAAGGATGCATTTCATCCAATTTTTGTTCACTGAAGGAACTAAGGGACTTAAGAGAGAAGTCCCATCACCCAGAGCTACTTCTGGTGGAGGATGTTCGGAGAACTGAGACAAACAACAAGAGTTAGTGGAATGCAATCAGTCACTGAGTCTCACGTCAGCAATACTGCAAAGTTTGGGCTGCTGAGTAGAAATTCCTCATAGCGCTTCAGAGACAAATAAAGGACGTTCACAGCAAACTTGCCAGCCTTTGGACCATACCACCAAGACGACACAGCTAGGATGAGATTTATGGCCACTAGCTAGATCAAGCCCAGCTAACAGTCATAAAGAGCTAGTTGGTAAATCGTAGGTTTACATATTATTACCATGAAAAACAGTAACAATTGTAATGGATACGTCTTATGTCCTGCACCTGCAATGATTTCTTTCCAAAAAGCACATTAAATGGGTTTTCTGATTTCTCCTTTCTCCTATAGCCTGTTTCCAGCTGCTGCCTATAAAAGCAACATACCAGCAAACTAACCTTTTATATTTTCAAAAGATAAAAAGATTTGCTTCAATGACTGCATTGGCAACATAGCTCACTACAATGATATCTTAATTATACTCTGTGCCAACAAATCACCCCACTGTCTCCGGTGACTTGCAAAAGGAATCCTACCTGTGATGTAATCTTTGAAGAACAGAAAATACTGCAAACTGCACCATGCATCTTTATGTTTTTTCTTGGTGACTATATGGGTAAAGTTTAAGGATTTGCAAAGCAGAGTCCAAGAATGTAAATACAACAGGTCTTTTTCTCCCCCTAGTTTTGTTGCCCCTGCCCAAAAGCCAGTAAAACAAGTTAAGTGAACCAGTTCTTAACTTATAATAGATGAGTCTGGAGGTCAAGTTACTAACCTGTTACTAGCTGTTATTACAAGAGATTTTTCAGTGACTATTCATCTTGAAAGATCAGTTTTCCACATTACATTTATGTCTTTTAAAGGAGAATAAAAATCTGTTTTAGGATATGTGCAAGGTTTCTATTGGCTTTCACCAACCTGCTCACCTACTACTAGGCTAAACTTCTATTATACTTAATGGTACAAACTTGTCTACCCATTGCAGGGTTAATACAATAATGCAACACTAAAGATAATAAATTTTATAGCCTATCTTTTTTTTAACAGTTGCAACCTGATTGATTTTTAGAAAATTATCAAGACTTATTATTAGGATTATTAATTATGTTTCCTCTAGGCCTGCCTTAGCCCAACAATATGTATTAATCATTGTTTTTATGGAAGTCTTTGAAAGATAAAGCACTCATAAAAATACTGACAATAGACTGAACGCACTCCCTGAGTTCTTACCAGCTGAGAACAGCTCCTAAACTAAGACAACTTCCTTAACCCATTTACAGCAAAATTGGACACTATCTTATATGTAGTAACACAAAATAATGACAAGGCGTGAGGATTATTATTGCTCTTCCATTGCTATGTCTATTTGTTTAACATAGCACTCTTGTTTCTACTGTTGGCAGAATACTTTACTAGCTCCACTGTATGATGGAAGAATATACCAGCTACGAAGTGCACACCATCTACTAATGCAAATGCTTCACTATGGATATTAAAAACAATTTCATCTGCTACAGCTGCTTAAAGTAGGTAAATCTATTTGCCAACACTGTAGCAGTAGTAGTTCCTATTTCTTACAAATGAATTCCTATAGCATGTTTTCATTCAAGGGTCTCAATAAATAAATAGAATAATAATGACCATCATTTTACAGAAGGGAAACTAAGACACCTAAAGGCAAAGTGACAGTCAAATGCTTACAGTCAAACAACAGGATATACACCATGGAGGAACCAAACACTGACGATGATTTGTCCTGTGCATTTTTCAGGGAAACTAAGACACCTAAAGGCAAAGTGACATGCTTACAGTCAAACAACAGGATATACACCATGGAGGAACCAAACACTGACTTACAGTCAAACAACAGGATATACACCATGGAACCAAACACTGATGATGATTTGTCCTGTGCATTTTTCATTAGACCGCACTGTCCACCTCATGGCATTTACACTGGTTTTCCAAACGGTGATGCATAACTTGTCAATATGCCCCAGAAAATAATGTCCATATTTTCATTTTGATGGTCCTAGATTACATTATCTTCCTAAATCAGCATGAGAATCAGTAGTCATGTATTTGCAC